GGAACAGAGTGGAAAAAATAGTTAAGGAAAAGGGAAGGCCACTGAACTGATTTCATACGCAGGATGTTTGTATAAGACATTAAGAGATACCTGGATTTCATTCATCAAGAGAGAATATGGAATTTTTTTGAAGGAACAAAGCTAATTTATGGCTGTCTGTTATACAGCATAGCTTGTATTTGAAACTTTAGAAACAGAATTGAATGCACATTTCTCCTGGGGAAATATTACAAAAATATATTTGCGGTGACCTATTCTGTAAACATTAAGGACACACTTGGGATTCTTAAGGAAAATATCTTCTCCAGAGCATTATTTCATTTGAAGAGTAGATTTAACTCTCATAGGAATGGGGCAGAGTGAAAAAAAAAGTTTGATTAAAGACATGTTTGCTGATTTTATAAAAGCAAAGTTTACAAATGTCCTATCATTTAACCTCTACGTATTTCATGTTGCATCTTTTAATTCCTATTTTGAATTATTGGACTCTGCTGGGCACACTTGTGTAGCTACAGTTATAAAAGAAATTCAGTGAAAATTTGTGCTCAGATCTTTCCTCTTCTTGAGTCAGATAAACACCAAAATGTCCTGGGATGCACAAATGTAAAGCACATTGCCTTCCACTGACATTTTTGATAATCTGGTTTTTGATGAAAAGAGCATTTGAAAATTGAAGATGTTTACAGTTCTACTTCAATTCTCTTTTTCAGTTGCCTCCAGTAAATATCACTTGGAGTGTTCTACTTAGTGGGTCAGAATGGCCTTTCTTCCACCCACATTCTGAATACAAAAGTCAAGTTTCAAGTCTGATTACTTGGAGAGTAGAAAATAATAAACCTTTTGTTTACTTGCCTGTTTGTGTTAATTCCTTGATTTGAAATACAGAAAAAAACTGCACACTCTAGAGATCATGAAAGCTGACTTATGCTTCATTATTAACCCCTTTCATTTTCCTCTTTCATTTCTTTAGGAACAATTTACTGGGTGTCACATATCATGTCATTTTTATGTTAAATTTACATGCATTAGTGTTAAAATACTTGATTTAGATGTGAATTTATCACATAATGATGCCCACCTCTTGGATGAAGAAGAACTGATAATTAATCAATGCCTGTCAAAGCACATTAACTGTAAGCATTCAAGAGGAATCATATTGGGATCAGAAACTACTAGCATTCATGCTTGCATCAAAAGTAATTATATATATACATATATATATAATGATGCTTTGTACACTAGATAAATCAAGATGGAGATATGTAGTTTGACTATTTGAAATCAGCCTCTGATATTAACCATTGTCAAAATAGCCAACTTGCTTGTACCTCTTCCAGTGTTATATTTTGAGATATATCACTTTTGAACATATAAATTAAAGACCGGTCTATAAAAGATGCTGTTTATGAAATTAAAATTATATGATCTGAGTATCTGTATATGACTGTTGGCGTATAAAACTAGTTCTATTACTTTACACAAACATTGTGATGTTGAGAATGGAAATGGAAATTAGTTTCCATAAGGAATTATGTTCTGTTATGTTGTTTCATAGAATTACCTGGAAGTAAAACACACACGAAAAAGCAATGCTGGTGTGCTGTCAAAGGCCTTATATATCCATCGACTTCCTCTTTGTAAAATAATGGTTATGTTCCTCTGGAGAACATTTCAGATATAAAGGGAATTTCTTAAAGAACTTGGTGAATATATTATCATCATTAGTAAATAATAACCTAGAGCTTCCACAAAAGAATCAAATTCCTCAAAAAGAAAGTAGAAAATATAAATAAATAAGTAAATGCACTCTACTAAAAATGTTAAAAATGGAACTTAGTTTAGTACTTACAAATCTAAGCTTGTAACTGAGTGATGGTTGCTGCTTGTGTATCTATAATTAGTAGTCTTTTCACATAGTCAGTTATATAGAACATTTATAATAGTCATTTCACTTATATAGAGCATCTACAGTATTATATAAATTATTATATAGAGCATTTATATATAGAGAGAGCAATTACATAGAGCATTTATAATAGAGCATTTTACTAGTCAGTCTTTTTTTTTTTTTTTTTTTGACAGGCAGAGTTAAGACTAACTCTTAACTCTGTCTCTCTGAGAGAGAGACAGAGAGAAAGGTCTTCCTTTACCGTTGGTTCACCCTCCAAAGGCCACTGTGGCCGGCGCACTGCAGCCAGCGCACTGCAGCCAGTGCACCGCGCTGATCTGAAGCCAGGAGCTAGGTGCTTCTCCTGGTCTCCCATGCGGGTGCAGGGCCCAAGGACTTGGGCCATCTTCCACTGCACTCCCGGGCCACAGCAGAGAGCTGGCCTGGAAGAGGAGCAACCAGGACAGAATCCGGCACCCCAACCGGAACTAGAACCCAGTGTGCTGGCGCCACAGGTGGAGGATTATCCTATTGAGCCGCGGTGTCGGCTTTTTTTTTTTTTTTTTTTTTTTTCTGACAGGCAGACTGAGACAGTGAGAGAGAGAGGCAGAGAGAAAGGTCTTCCTTCCATTGGTTCACCCCCCAAATGGCCGCCGTGGCCGGCATGCTGCGCTGATCTGAAGCCAGGAGCCAGGTGCCTCCTCCTGGGTCCCCACGCAGGGGCAGGGCCCAAGCACTTGGGCCATCCTCCACTGCCTTCCCAGGCCACAGCTGAGAGCTGGACTGGAAGAGGGGCAACCAAGACAGAACCAGCGCCCCAACCAGGACTAGAACCCAGAGTGTACTGGCACCGCAGGTGGAGGTTTAGCAGAGTGAGCCGTGGCGCCGGCCCACATAGTCAGTCTTTACTTCAAACAATTGGACTCAAAAGTGGTAGCTTTGGTTTCTGTATCAGAAGTTTACAGTCTGCAGTTTTACCCTATTTCCTAACAATGCAACACTTTCCCACAACACACCTTGAAAAATTTTTCTTAGGATATTTCTACATATCAACATAGAATTATATTAGAAAACAGAACAATTTTAAATTCATAGTGATTTTCTTTCCCTACTTTAGAAGCAGAAAACATTTTACTATATTTTACTGCATAATTAGAAATTAATTAGAAATTACTGATGAAAATGTTGGTACAAGTTCTGTTTACAAATTCAGTGGCCAAGAAATGAAATAATGCTTAAGCAACATTAGTGTGAGTTTGTCAAATACAAAACCAAGCTTCAAGGAAGTTAAAAAGTTTAATGCTTCAAAATATATTATTTTGTGTATGTGTATGAATGTGGGATCTGTTGTCTTTATAGTCCAAGTTTTCCTATTTACTTTTAAAAGACATTCAAACCAGTGTGTACATTACCACACAGTAATTATTTGCTTACTTTAATTAAAATGTAAAAAGGAAGACTGTTTAAAAATTAATGTTCATAGAAAAATATGGAAGTGAAAAACATCTAATTAAAAACATCTTCGGTGATTGCAGAAAAGCAAAATCGCACATATTCTGTAAATTTATTTTTATGTGCTTCGCAAACATATTTTATAAGCTATAGTAGTCTTACTAAATAGATATAGTTCCTAAATCAAAATATGACTCTGGGGATTTTAAAGCTTTTTCAGATAATTTGTTAATCTTGTTCATCTATTTCAAAAACATACTATTCTGGCAGGCACCATGGCTCATTAGGTTAATCCTCTGCCTGCGGTGCCGGCATCCCATATAGGCACCGGGTTCTAGTCCTGGTTGGGGCGCCGGATTCTGTCCGGCTTGCTCCTCTTCCAGTCCAGCTCTCTGCTGTGGCCTGGGAAGGCAGTGGAGGATGGCCCAGGTGCTTGGGCCCCTGCACCCTCATGGAAGACCAGGAAGAAGCACCTGGCTCCAGGCTTCGGATCAGCACAGCGCCGGCTGTGGCGGCCATTAAGGGGTGAACCAACAGAAGGGAGATCTTTCTCTGTCTCTTTCACTGTCTGTAACTCTACCTGTCAAATATTAAAATAACAATAATCAAATAAAAAATAAATGCTATTCTTCTGGTGAATTATACAAAATATGATTCCAAATATCCATAGATATCCAATATCTATGTGTATTTCTGTATACTTGCTAACTATATTAACAATTCTCTAACAATCAAAAGAAAATTTCATTCTAGAATATAAATCTGCTCTCAAGTTTGTTTTGCTAGTATAAGGTAGTGAAGTATAAGCAGAAACCATATTGATGGTGGGAGGAGGCTATAACCTGCTTGTGAGAGGAATATTTTTCTTGTTCTCTATTCTTGTAATTATTTGAAAAATGTACATCCGGATATATGTTATACTTTAAAACTGGTGGAGAATGTTGACGTGTCATCATTTTTGGGCTTTCTGAAATAATTTTGCCTACCATACTTGATTTTATAGAAATAGAAATAAGAAAGGATTCCTCAAAGGGAAAAAAAAATCTGTACCATAAACAATTGATGGAAAGAATTCAATTTTAAGAAGTCTTACACAATTGTTTTTAATCAAATATACATAACTTTGTATTAAAGGTAACTATTTGTATTAAATATATACAATTTAAAAAGTACCTCCATTCACATAGTTATAAACTTAACTGCTATTTATCCCTAATTTTACTGCATGTTTAATAAGCTTCTTGTGGTTATAGTCTTCACTTTGAGTACTTTCTCTGTCCTTCAGTCAGACTGTCAACTTAATAAAGGTTAAGAATCAGATAAGGTCTCTATTCATTGCTCATTTTTGCTACTTTGTTATTAAACATCAGCATCTTCCCTAAAAATCCAGGACAGTAAATAAAGCCTAGTAGCAAAACAAATAAGTTTGACAACATGTATTTGTGTACTTACGCCATCCCTCTTGTGCAAAATCCACAATTGGTTATGATATTCATACAGCAGAGCATCAATGTCATAGTAAAGTGTGTTTCTATTTCTGAAAGTTCTTTGTATGTTTTTGTTAAATCAGTATCTGCAGTAGTGTCTGTTGACATCAGTAGTGTGTTTGATGTGTTTAAATAATCAATTATAATAACTGGTCTTACAATTTCATCAACAGATATTTCATATGACGTATGATCTTGCCAGTGCGGTGGTGAGGATTTTTAATCTCATCGGCATGATGCTGCTCTTGTGTCACTGGGATGGTTGTCTGCAGTTCTTGGTCCCACTATTGCAGGATTTCCCACCAGATTGCTGGGTGTCCCTCAATGAAATGGTTGTAAGTAATTCATGCTATTTTATACTCTGCTTTTATACTAAGCTTTTCAGTATTTACAATCAAATCATCTGATTTCTCTTCTGTCAATTTTTAAATACAACTAGATTTTGCATCCATGGGCATAAAATCATATAGTGTGATTTTTTCCTACAATTAAATGTCTTTGATATAATATATTCCTGGTAGAGCATATGTTATGTCATCCATTTTGTTATTTATACTCAGGGTATGTTGAAAAATATTTTATTTCAAAGATACAAACACTCATATATAACCAAATATTCTTTCAAAAATGCCTACAGCTTTGAATAATTTCATCCTCCTTTCAACTATTTATTTATTTATTGCCATTCACTGTGTTCAAGACAGAATTAAAGGAAATGTTAAATTATTAATACATTTGCCTCATGTAGAATCAAAGAGATTTGTATGCATACAATGATGTTTCAGGTAGTCCCTTTGGCTAGGGAAAATTTAAGGAAATGGTAGCCTTTAAACCTAAATGTACATAAATATAAAAGAGCCTTTGAAATATAAATATGACTTGTATAGCTACTCATACTCATTTAGTTCTAGGAGTATATATTTGATCTACATAGTACAATACTCAGTGGTCACAAAGCAATTGAACCAATAGTAAATATTTTATACTTATGCACATAAACATACACAAATATTCTTTTTATGTAAGCTCTTTTGTTTTCCTCCTAAATTACATTTTATTTGCATTATATTTAATAAAACATAGTTTAAGTTAATAATGCATTTGTAAGCATTCATTTGCATGTGATTTTTATGGGAGATATATTTTTGAGATTTCTACAAAATATTTAAATTCTACATAAATGAAATACAAAATGTTGCTATTTTTGCAAACTGTTCTACTATTATAGTCTATAATTATATTGTAGAATTTTTTAAAGATTTATTTATTATTTGAAAGTCAGAGTTACACAGAGAAAGGAGAGGCAGAGAGAGAGAGAGAGAGAGAGAAAGAGAGAGAGAGAGGTCCTCCATCCACTGGCTCACTCCCCAGTTGGCTGCAAGAGTCCGGAGCTATGCTGATCCGAAGCCAAGAGCCAGGAGCTTCTTCTGGGTTTCCCACGTGGATGCAGGGGCTCAAGGACCTCGGCCATATTTTACTGCTTTCCCTGGCCATAGTAGAGAGCTGGATTCAAAGTGGAGCAGCAGGGCCTCCAACCAGCGCTCAAATGGGACGCTGGCACTGCAGGTGGCACCCTCACCTGCCACACCATAGTGCCAGCCCCTTATTGTAGAATTTTAAAGAAAACTTAAGGTCATAAATTTGTTTCTTCTAATAACTGTATCTTAGGCTTTGCATTTGATGTAAGAAGGGGTTTATGTTATGTGCCAAAGAGTCTTATTACTTTATTTCCATCAATCACCTTCTTCTTCCCTACCTCAGTTTCTAAATCTTTTTTTTTCCTTTGACTTGCATCTGGAATTCACCTGGATCTCTCATTTATTTCATCTGTATCTACTTAAATACCAGCACCTTACAGAAACCTCTCTGATCACCATTTGAAGTACATCATGCCACTGATTTATGTGGCAATCATAAAAGCATGTCACAACACCTATATCCACTTTAATTTATTGCGTTTTCTGCATCCCTCACACCATTATGTAAATTCAGAGATTATCTGTTTTCTTCTGTTCTGTATCTCCAGTGCTGTGTTAGTTTGTTTTGGGCTTCTGTAATAGCAGAGCAAATGGGTAATTTATAAAGAACAGAAATTCATTTTTTCAGAGTTTCAGAGCCTGGGAAGTCCCAAGATCAAGATACCAGAAGGTTTGGTCTCTGTTTCCACAAGGCACCTTATTGTTATGCCATCTGGAAAGGAGTAGTATTGTTTCTCAGGTGACAGAAAGTAGAAGTTGGGAAACCATTCTCACAAGCCTTCTTTATAGAGGTGCTAATCTATCCTTGAGGGTGGAGCCCTCATGACCTAAACATCTTCCATTAGATCCTGCCTCCCAACACTGCTGCCTTGGGGATTGAGTTTCCAACACAGGAATGCTGGAAGATGCATTCAGACCTCAGCAAGTTGCCTAGGCATAAAGTGCCTGACACATTAATTGTTTTAACTTCATGATCCATCAACAGTTTATTTGAGAAATGTTTCTGTGAGTTTTTATGGCTATAGAACAAATGGCAAAACAGTCTGTTGAGCTCACTTTTCAAGTCTTTGATGTCTCCATGATTATATATCTGTCACTTTACTAATTTTTAGGAGCAAAAATTTGTGGTAAAGTGGTAATAAAGGTATTTTTGGAGAAGAAAAATGCAGTGGCTCTAAAATCTGAGTAATTATTGAGTGCATAGTACAAAAACACTAGTAATACTGACAAAAGATGATTCATCATTGGCACAAACCAATATTTAATTAAGCAAATATTTATTATTTTAGATTTTCTCTAAGTGTCTGTCAGAAAATAGCTATTGCAATCATTGGAAGAATAAAAGAACTATTGAAGTATCTATAAATTACATATAATTGTATAATTATGATGGAAGGCAGTATGTTACTTAACTAATGATAAATCATTTTGTTGAAGAAAAAGTTTAATGCCGTTTTCATGTTTCTTTACATATGTTTGCCTGTGCTACATGTGTGTGTTGCATTTAAGTAATGCAACATTATATCCTTATGTTATACAAAATAGCTTTCCTAAAGTTGCAATCCGTTTCTTAGCCTTTTACTTTTCTTTTTGAAAGCAGATTTACTTATGAAATTGACTTTTACTTTACTTTGTTTTGACAATATTTCTTTGTATAAATTTAATGTAGAGGGCAGGAAAGTTAAATATATATTCAAATACAAAGACCAGAAGTACTTTTACATAGTGAAAGAGTCATATGAAGAAGATAACAACCATAAAAAGGTAAATTTTGTATCAAGAGAGAATCTTGATGGTGTTATTTGAATTTGAAGATATATTTTACTATCATAAAGTTATATAGTTCAAGAAATCCTTCATTACGACACAAAAATGTAAAGTGTACTGATACCAAAAGAGAGTTATAATGGAGTAAAAAAGCACCCTACATTTATATGGCATTCTAAATATGCATTTTTACTCCATTAACATAAGCAACAGAAAGAGATCAGCACTATTATGCTCCATTTCATAGTTCAGAAAACTAAAACTTTTAAAAGTCAAGTGAATAATTCAGTGTCACACAGATAGAGTATATGACTAAGAAAAAATATATATAACTCCATCCTTTCTGCTCTAACCCACATTACAATGTCTTATGTTGCATAAATTATATAAAAACAAGAAAAATATTGAAAAAATCTGTAATCACGGTTGCAGATAAAACTCATTCTAAAGTTAGTCTTTGAACACTGACACTAAAGAGTGTCAAGAATGATGTTTTTCTAGACACTTAAAAACAAAATCGAATTGGGAAAGTGAAAGTTGAAAATCTAGATGAAAATAAATGCAGGGTATACTAATCATTATGGGGTATGAGCTTTATAATTATGCTTTGCTCTTGGGCTGGTGATGTAGTACAGAAGACTAAGCCTCTGCTTCTGATGTATGTATTTGTATCAAAGTGCTATTTCAAGTTCCAGCTGCTTTGCTCCTGATCCAGCTTTCTGCCAATGTGCTGGAAAAGTAATGTTTGATGGTCAAAGTGGTTGGGATGCTGCCAATATGTGGGAGACCCAGATGGAATTCCTGGCTCCTGACTTTGGTATGGCCTAGTTCTGCCTGTTGTAGCTATTTGGGGAGTAAGCCAGCAGATATAATATTTCTCTATATATGTGTCTCATCCTCTCTCTCTATGATATTGACCATTCTAAAAATATGTGAAACGATATTTAAAAAATAATTATTCTTTGAAATTTAGATTTAGTACTAAATTATTTATGAGGAATGGTGTGGTTAGATATTGCATATATTTATCTTCTTTTTCTTACCTCCTACCTTTAAATTATTATGTCTTTTTTTTCCAAAGAAATCTTTTAAAGAATATAAACTTCATGCATTTCATAACTACAAGTTTAGGAATATAGTGATTCTTCCCACCATAACCACCCTCCCACCCACACTCAACTCTGTACTAAAAGTTCAGCATTCTGCACGATACAAAAAAAAAAAAAAAAAAAAAAAAAAAAAAGTTCCTCAACAGTTGAGACAAAGCCTGTTCAAAGTCATTGCATCTTTGCATCTCAAAGTTAATTAATTTTTTTTAGGAACTTAATTAACTTTAAAGAAGCACCCAAGAATGATACATCTTTTGCAAGCACTTAGACGTAATTATAATACAACTCTTTGAGGACAGAGGTCCTACATGGGAAGTTAGTGCACAATGACTCCTGTTGTTAATTTAACAATTAACACTCTTATATATTACATAAGTGATAACCAGAGACTCTTGACATGAGCTGCCATTTGAATCCACAAACTCTGTCAGTATTTAAACAAGGCCGTAAGCAAAGTAGAAGTTCTCTCCTCCTTTCAGAGAAAAGTACATCATTCTTTAATGATCACTTCTTTCCACTGGAGTCTCACCCAGTGAGTTCCTTCATCTAGGACATTTTTGTCACAGTGTCTTGGCTTTCCACGCCTGAAATGATCTCATGGGATTTTCAACCCGACCAGAATGCCTTAAGGGCTGATTCTGAGGTCAGAGTGCTACTTAAAGTGGTTGTCATTCTGTGAGTCTGCTGTGTGAACTGCTTCCCATGTTGGAGCATGCACTCCTTTTTAATTATATCTATTATTATTGCCATATGTTCAATCCTATCCATATGATCACTTCAACACTTAAGTTGGTATTTTCACAACCCACCTTAAGGGGATTTGATGTCCCATGGCAAATTTCTAAACTGCATCCTTATAAGTAAGACCATAGGAATATATCCAGAACTATAAATGTTTATGGTTATAAATTTCATACACTTCATAATTACAGCCTCAGAAAAATGGTGATTCTTTCCCACATGCCTGCCTTCCTACCCATA